TACCCTAAGGTGGGTTCTTCTGGGCTACTCTAGGCTCCTTGAACAAGGTCATTTGCCTCTCACATAAAGTAACTTTACACTGCCATTTCCATCAATGCCCCGAGACAGGACTGAGGCCGCTGTCAGGGAATTCCCAACCATAAGACGGACCTCTAACTTTAGAGACGGCCATATACCGTGTACACTTGAGGAATAAACTGTCCTCCAGGTAACTCTCTCTTGTCTCCATGTCAATGTACACCATTCATGTAGACTTGCATTTAGAAGGGACTCACTGAGCCTATGTCCACTCCACCTGTCCAGCATATCTTCACAACCTCACTCTGAGTAGCGGAATGGAACCCCACTGTGCACCTATCAGGGGCCGCATGCATGTAATTAACTCTCTACTGTACCTCTGCAAAAGACGGGGGCCTCTGTGGTGCTGATCTGCTTCCTATAGCCATGGGAGACAGATTGCTTGATGAGAGTGTCGGCAACTCCCTTGCTGCAGGAGGCTATCCCACCTGTCATAGGTACACACTTGACGACAGGCTGCTTGGCGGACTGTTGGCTTCCATTGCCCCTGGTAACCACTTGCTGTCTTCATACTCTAATGCAGTGGTTCTCAACCTTTCTACTGCCGCGACCCCTTAATACAGTTCCTCATGTTGTGGTGACCCCCAACCATAAAATTATTTTCGTTGCTACTTCATAACTGTAATTTTGCAGTGGGAGGAGTAGTGCCACGTCATTGGTGTCAGTGGGAGGAATAGTGTCCCATCACTGATGTCAATGGGAGGAATGGTGCCCCGTCATTGGTGTCAGTGGGAGGAATAGCGCCCCATCATAGGTGTCAGTGGGGGGAATAGCGCCCCATCATTGGTGTCAGTGGGAGGAATAGTGCCACGTCATTAGTGTCAGTGGGAGGAATAGTGTCCCATCACTGATGTCAATGGGAGGAATGGTGCCCCATCATTGGTGTCAGTGGTAGGAATAGCGCCCCATCATTGGTGTCAGTGGGAGGAATAGCGCCCCATCATAGGTGTCAGTGGGGGGAATAGCGCCCCATCATTGGTGTCAGTGGGAGGAATAGTGCCCCATCATTGGTGTCAGTGGGAGGAATAGTGCCCCATCATTGGTGTCAGTGGGAGGAATAGTGCCCCATCATAGGTGTCAGTGGGGGGAATAGTGCCCCATCATTGGTGTCAGTGGGAGTGATAGTGCCCCATCATTGGTGTCAGTGGGGGTAATAGTGCCCCATCATTGGTGTCAGTGGGAGGGATAGTGTCCCATCATTGGTGTCAGCGGGAGGGATAGTGCCCCATCATTGGTGTCAGTGGGGGTAATAGTGCCCCATCACTGGTGTCAGTGGGAGGAATAGTGTCCCATCACTGATGTCAGTGGGAGGAAAAGTGTCCCATCACTGGTATCAGTGGGAGGAATAGTGCCCCAACACTGGTGTCAGTGGGAGCAATAGTGCCCCAACATTGGTGTCAGTGGGAGGAATAGTGCCCCAACATTGGTGTCAGTGGGAGGAATAGTGCCCCATCATTGGTGTCAGTGGGAGGAATAGTGCCCCATCGTTGGTATCCGTGGGAGGAATAGTGCCCCATCATTGGTGTCAGTGGGAGGAATAGTGCCCCATCATTGGTGTCAGTGGGAGGAATAGTGCCCCATCGTTGGTATCAGTGGGAGGAATAGTGCCCCATCATTGGTGTCAGTGGGAGGAATAGTGCCCCATCGTTGGTATCAGTGGGAGGAATAGTGCCCCATCGTTGGTGTCAGTGGGAGGAATAGTGCCCCATTGTTGGTGTCAGTGGGGGGAGGAATAGTGCCCCATCATTGGTGTCAGTGGGGGGGAGGGAATAGTGCCCCATCGTTGGTGTCAGTGGGGGGAGGAATAGTGCCCTATCGTTGGTGTCAGTGGGGGGAGGAATAGTGCCCCATCGTTGGTGTCAGTGGGAGGAATAGTGCCCCATCGTTGGTGTCAGTGGGGGGAGGAATAGTGCCTCATCATTGGTGTCAGTGGGGGGAGGAATAGTGCCCCATCATTGGTGTCAGTGGGGGGAGGAATAGTGCCCTATCGTTGGTGTCAGTGGGGGGAGGAATAGTGCCCCATCATTGGTGTCAGTGGGGGGAGGAAGAGTGCCCCATTGTTGGTGTCAGTGGGGGGAGGAATAGTGCCCCATCATTGGTATTAGTGACACCAATGATGGGGCACTATTCCTCCCACTGACACCAATGATACTTACCTTGCTGACCCCTGCTCCAGCCTGGGCTCGCTGGCTCCCTCCCTCTCCCATGGTACAGACACTTACCGGTCAGATGTCTTCCTTCTCCGGCCGCTCTCCTCCTCTCTCACTCGCTCGGTCTTCGCGGTGCCGTTCGGCTCCTCCTCTCCAAGCTCCACCTCCTCGCCGGTGATTGGCCGCCTGTGTGCCTCTCCTGAGCTACAGTTCCGGTGGCCAATCACCGGCGAGGATTGATCCCGGGGGTGTGTCCAGATGACAGGGACGGCATGTCATCCCGCCCACACCTGGAGACAGATAGAGGAGCGGTGTCTCCGTTCCTAAGGCCATCGGAAATATGTGTTTTCCGATGGTCTTAGGTGACCCCTGTGAAAGTGTCGTTCGACCCCCAAAGGGGTCGCGACCCACAGGTTGAGAACCGCTGCTCTAATGGGCTATTGACCCAAGCGGGAGACTATGTGTGGTGCCTCTTACTTGCATTACACTGCTTTCGTAACTTCAGACCAGGAAAAAGGCAAAGTTTGAAAGCTTCACTGAAAAAGTTCAGTACTGAAAAAATACACAGTGCAAAGCAGTTTTTCTCTAACATCCCTAGGCCCTATCTTCGGCTTGTGAGCTACTCCGGGATACCTGTAAAGACAGAGTACATGCATGGCATGGCATGTGTCCATGGTTTGGCAGGGTCTAGTAGATGGCATTTTCAGGTTCTAGCAGTCCCTCTACATTTCAGAAGGTGATCTTCTACTCCGGCATCAGCAGACAGGATGAAACTGAAGGCAGAACAGACTTGGACTTAAGACCTGAGATTTAAAGCTCCAGCAGCAGCCTCCCCGGGCTCCAGACCACTGTCCCTTTTTATAGATACAGGACCAGTGGATTGGACCCAAAAAGTCAACCAAGGAAATAACCTGGGAACACCATCAACCCTAACCCTCCCATCTGGGGCAGCACCTATCTAGCTCATTAATCAACCTGCTTACAAACACCCCAACAACTACGGCTGGCTTTTAATCCCTCAAGGCAGTCAGGTCTATTCCTTTTTTTATAAGTTCCCAATACAACATTCTATGGTAGCTCATTCCATTTAAAACTTGAATTAAGTATTGCTTATGCTTTGCCTTCCCTGGTCGCCCTCCCCTTCCCCATCAACATGAAAATTACATTATTAAATAAAACCTTTCTGTTTCCATTACATATCTTATGTTAGACCTAGTAATTTCATCTCTATGCAATGCAAGCAGATAATGGCTGGTGGGAGGGGCCGGCAGGGTGCTGTACATACTGTAGCTTTCTGAAAACTATTTTATCCACAGACACCAGAGATGAGGCACTATTCCTTCCACAGACACCAACAATGGGGCACTATTCCTCCCACTAATACCAATGATGGGGCACTATTCCTCCCACTGACACCAATGATGGGGCACTATTCCTCCCACTGACACCAATGATGGGGCACTATTCCTCCCACTGACACCAATGATGGGGCACTATTCCTCCCACCGACACCAATGATGGGGCACTATTCCTCCCACTGACACCAATGATGGGGCACTATTCCTCCCACTAATACCAATGATGGGGTACTATTCCTCCCACTGACACCAATGATGGGGCACTATTCCTCCCACTGATACCAATGATGGGGCACTATTCCTCCCACTGACACCAATGATGGGGCACTATTCCTCCCACTGATACCAATGATGGGGCACTATTCCTCCCACTGACACCAATGATGGGACACTATTCCTCCCACTAACACCAATGATGGGGTACTATTCCTCCCACTGACACCAATGATGGGATACTATTCCTCCCACTGACACCAATGATGGGACACTATTCCTTCCACAGACACCAACAATGGGGCACTATTCCTCCCACTGACACCAACAATGGGGCACTATTCCTCCCACTGACACCAATGATGGGGCACTATTCCTCCCACTAATATCAATGATGGGGCACTATTCCTCCCACTGATACCAATGATGGGGCACTATTCCTCCCACTGACACCAATGATGGGGCACTATTCCTCCCACTGATACCAATGATGGGGCACTATTCCTCCCACTGACACCAATGATGGGGCACTATTCCTCCCACTGACACCAATGATGGGGCACTATTCCTCCCACTGATACCAATGATGGGGCACTATTCCTCCCACTGACACCAATGATGGGGCACTATTCCTCCCACTGACACCAACAATGGGGCACTATTCCTCCCACTAATATCAATGATGAGGCACTATTCCTCCCACTGACACCAACAATGGGGCACTATTCCTCCCACCAATATCAATGATGGGGCACTATTCCTCCCACTGACACCAATGATGGGGCACTATTCCTCCCACTGATACCAATGATGGGGCACTATTCCTCCCACTGACACCAATGATGGGGCACTATTCCTCCCACTAATATCAATGATGAGGCACTATTCCTCCCACTGACACCAACAATGGGGCACTATTCCTCCCACCAATATAAATGATGGGGCACTATTCCATACCCTGACGGCAGTGATGGGACACAGTTCCATCTGCTGACACCAGAATAAAATAGTGGTAGTTGCAATTTTTTACGTCGCTCAATATTACTGCAAAGGTCTAGGAAACGCAGTAAAGTTAATTTCAGGGCACACAAATACAAGACTTTTTTTTTCACAAAATGTAAAAGATGAGGTTGTACCGAGGAAAAAGATACCCAACATGTCAAACCTTGAATTTCTGTACATCGGTGAAATGGCAAAAAATGTCAGCACCCTATTTTTTCCATAAGCAATGCTTTTAAAAGCCCCCCCATTGTTTGGTGCTACCAGGGGCGGACTGACCATTTGGAAACTCAGGCACTGCCCGAGGGCCCGGGGTCAGTAGGGGGCCCCATGAGATGCCCCTGGTACCTTTTCCATAGGCTTTTTTGAGCTTGGGCAAGGACACAGGGGCCCCATGATCCCCTATTGCCCGGGGCCCCATGAGTTGGCAGTCCGCCCCTGGGTGCTAAAGTGGAGGTCTGATGCTAGAAATATTTATCTCACTCCAATGTGAATGGCGATATGTAACATGTGTATAGCAATCAACGTTTTTATTCAGAGGCACCCCTATGCATGCATTTAGGTCCGTTCGTGCGTATATGTGGGGTGGGGCCTCAAAAAAAATTTTTTGGGAGGGGGGATTTTATGTTCTTGGGTGTAACTTTAATTTTTACAATTCAAAAAATATATATTTAGCTTTTTTTTCCCATCACAAAAAGTCCTCTATGTAATGATTTGTTGGTGACAGGTTCTCTTTAATGAGACATCCAGGGTCTAAAAGACTCAGGATGTCTCCCCTGTACTACACTGGATGTAATGCAGTGCAGATCACACTGCATTAGATTCTTTCCCAGCCATACTGTTTTATAGGTCGCTTCTGGGTCAGCACCATAATGGGGAGGACAGTAGACGTGTGTCCGCTCTGCTCCCTTCCTTCTACCTAGCAGCACCCGCTATACCGGTCCCTGGTCCACAGATGGGCAAGTGGAACCTGGAATACATAGCGGATGTGTGCACATGGGGGAAATGAAGGGGGGGTGAGAGCCGTTACCGGGGTGTGTATGGAAGCAGCGCAACCACCTGATTGCTTCCATGTGACAGGGAGGAGTCTGCCTATCAGTTTTACACACAATCCGGTAGCTGTAGTCATTGCACTGTGTGTAATCCCATCCCCCCACGCTGTCAGGTCTGTACGCCATACGGACCTGGCAGCAAAATACCCCAAATTCTAAAGTTACCACCGATAACTAAAGGGCACACGCTCCCATGGGAGCTCTCAAAGGTGGATTTTCCCTCACTTTGGGGTGATTTACACTCACTTCCTGTTAGTTCTCTGAAATGGAAAGTCGTGGCTAATCTCCCCGATGGGGCATGTACTGTATTGCGGTGCACTCTATACGGTGTGGTCCATGCCTCCTGAGACCCCACCTGTAGGACAGTATGGCAACTTGCTCATTCAGCTTTTGACATCTACTATGTTCTTTTGTTATCCTCAAAAATAGCAATAAAATATCAAGCACAAAAAAAGGAAGATTTGAGGGCAGTGTCACCGCTGTGGAAGTAGAAACCAATCTAGCTTGTCATACCAGATTATGTTTTTTTCTGAGTCTTTTTTATGTGGCCTTTCCCATGGTGGCCTCCCCTGGACTCGCACACCCAGACCCAGTGGATGAAAGGGAGGTGGACTTTTCAGGACCTCCCCTCACCTCTTCTCTGTCCCTCCTCTCTTTTGATGCTCACCACATTAGTTTTTTTTTTTTTTCCCATGTTCCTTTGAGGATTGCTGTGATATATCAGCCTCCGGGACCAGTGCCACTCCTATTTGATGATTTCTCTGCCTGGCTATCATACTTTCTCTGCTTTTGAATGCTACCACTTTTCTTGGTGACTTCAAAAATTTGGTTAATGTCAACACCCCGGCTACATGTCAATTTGTAAGCAAGGGTTAGCACCCCTTTTAGTGAGGCCCCTCCCCTGGGTGTAAAGGGTGGGTGGAGTATGTACCTCTTTATAGGTTGGTGTGGGTGGAGTCTGAAGAAGAAGGCTGATGGGAACAGGCTACTTCTGAGGTAAGTCTGCAGGCAGGGAAGGAGAGGGCCTATAGGGGCTAAGCTGTAAGGGACTCTGGACAAAAACCCACTGCAAGGGGACTCACAGAGAGGAGAGGGGGAGAGGTGGCTGGATATGTTATGGTCAAGTGTTCTACCCTGATGTGTCCTGTACTGTTGGTCTGGAAATATTCGAAGTTATTGCTGTACAGTCGAGGACATGTTATTTTTTCAGTAAAAGCATTAAAAGGCTACAAGATGGTGGATTTCCTTCCTTTCCAGGTGTGTACAACCATTTGTACCTCATTGATAGAAACCCTCTCAACTCATTTCAGTCTGGATTTAGCCCACAACTTCCCTCCTAAAATACATACTAACTGTTAAAACCAAAGGGTACTACTCTTTATCATAATACTAAAAGTTTGTTCTGCCTTTGATACAACCACCTGCTCTTCCTCAAAACATTTGGCCCCCTTGGCTTCCAAGTCTCTGCTCTTTCCACTTACAAATCTACCTCTTCCTCTCTCTTCTTTCTCTTTCTGTAGGGGTCTCCCAAGGCTTTATCCTTATACCCCTCCGGTTCTCTATCTACACCTCCTCCCTGGGTCATTTGATAGCCCCCCACAGCTTCCACTGCCATCTCAATGCTGAAAACACTCAAATCTATCTACCCCTTACCTTTCCACTTCAATCCCCTCAGACATCTATACTTTATGTCACTACCTCAAACTCAATCTTTCCAAAACTGAACTCATAATATTTCTTCGCTCATGTCCCCTCCCCAGACTTTTCTATCAAACACAAAAACACAATCATCAATTCCTTCACTCATGGCAAAGTTCTAGATGTCCTAAACTTTAACCTCTTCTTTTGGCCCTACAGCCAATCACTGTCCAAATCCTGCTGCCTTCAAGACTGTATAATCTCCAAAATATGCCCCTTCTTATCCAATGACACCTCCAAGGTAGTGATTCACCCTCTTGCTATCTCTAGCCTAGATTATTGCAACTTCCTCCTCATTGGCCTACCCTAACACAGGCTAGCCACATTCAGTGTATCATAAAAGCTCCTGCCAGACTCATCCATCTAACCAACCATTTAGTGTCAGCCGCCTCTGCCTGCCAATCCCCTTGGGGTGCTTTGAAATGTTAGATAGCTCAGCCCTTAGCTAGACCCTCCCTTCCTCACCATACAGCCAGCCAGTTTCAGTTTCATCAATGTAGAGGAAGGAAAATTTAAGACAGGAATGTCTTTTTACCATAAAGAAAGGCCAGAAAAAACATCCCATGTAAGTTGGAATCAGGGGCGGACTGACAACTCATGGGGCCCCCGGGCAATAGGGGATCATGGGGCCCCTGTGTCCTTGCCCAAACTCAAAAAAGCCTATGAAAAAGGTACCAGGGGCATCTCATGGGGCCCCCTACTGACCCCGGGCGCTCGGGCAGTGCCCGAGTTTCCAAATGGTCAGTCCGCCCCTGGTTGGAATACATTACACTGGATTCTATTTCTGGGTCTTTTTGGTGAGCTAACGCTGCCTATGGATCTTGTCAAGTCAAAAAGCTGCCATACTATCCATATAGACTGGGGCTCGGGTGGTCTGTCTTTTGCATAAAGAGTCATTTGAGACAGAACACTTTTAAAAGTAAAAAACATTAGGTAATGCTGATGTCAGTTAATACCGTGCAGTCTTCAATCTTCTTCTGAAGCAGCTTGATGATAATCCCTTCCTTGGTCATCACAGCGTTCTCATTGCCTCCTATCACTTGCACCTGGGGCTTCTCATATTTCGCTTTAATGCCATGTTGGATCCCAGGTGCTTTAGGTGGAAAAGCATTCGTTTTGTTGCCAAATTTGGCTTTAGTAACTTCACAGAAAACTTTCACGGTTTCTTCATCCATGTCCACCAGATGTATTCTCTGCAAAGTGGTCTGCTGGCTCTCCACGTAGACCCTTACTGCTTCCACTATATTCTCAATGCATGGCTTTAGTGGGAAAGCAAAAATTCCAGAGCTGACTGCTGGGATCGCTATTGAACAGTGGTGGCACATGGATGCCAGCTGCAAGCTAGTGGTGATCGCCTTCTGTAAAAGCAGCTCACAACTTGAATGTGAACTCTTGGACCATCGGGGACCAACAGTATGGATGACCTGTTTACATGGCAAATTGCCAGCATCAGTAATTACTGAGTCACCAGGAGACAGGCTACCATTCGTCTTGAAGATCCTGTCACTGTCTTCTTGAAGTTTACGTCCAGCTGCATTCAAAATGGCTTTTGCCAAGCCACCAATGTGTTGTAGATTTTCATTGGCTGCATTAACTATAACATCTACATTGTGACGGCACAGGTCGCTTTTGTATATGGCGATGGTCAACCCATTTGGAAGTTTCACTTGGAATCTGGGGTCACCTAGTACAGAGGCTTTTCTACTAGTGTCCCCTAAATGTATTGCACAGTTAAATTCTTCCTTTGCAGTTGCAACTAGAACTTTTTCATTGAACATGCAAAATTTTTTGGCTCCTGGTTTATCGATGCACAGAGTATCACAATGAAGTGAGAAAAGGAAATTCTTGATGAGCAATGCTGCCTCTTGAACATTAGTCCTTGGACCTGACAAGCACACCCTGTCCCCATTCTCCATCACATTTACTTTTTTATGTATTTTCCCCCAAATGGCCCCCCTTCTGTCCTGAAAGAACTTCATCATTACCCTTGACTCAACTGGAACCTCTGTTTGTATCATTGCATTATTGGACGACAGGAGACTCTTCTGTTCAACAAAGATACTTCTATACATCAGCTCTTTTCTCAGTTGTTTTTCAGCTTTCTTGAAGGCTTCCTCTGAGTAAGCGATCAGTTTAACAGCATTGTCATGAATTTCCAGCAGGGCATTAATGCTGTGAGTTTCAAATAGGAAATTGCTCAGTTTCTCATTGGACATCAGGAACTGGACAAGGTATGGATTTAATTGAAGGGATTCAGTTTTTATTTGTTTCTGAAAATTATATATCTTATGCTGGGCAGCAAGAACCTCATCTCTCAGCCCTGATATCTGGATCTCCTTAGTTTCTACATCATAATCAATCTTCAACTCCAGGACCTGCTCCTTAATCTTCTTCTCTAGGCCACTCCTATTCATAATTCTATACTGGGCCTTGGACATGGGTACCACCACAGTCAAACTTTCATTCTTTTTTTCAATAGCTCTTGTGGTTTCTTCTAACAGGTTTCTAAAAGTTGGACTCATCTCAGATACATTCTTGGATTTACCAACCAGGTAAACCTTCCCTGCAGCCAAGTCAGTTTTTGACCTGTACTCCGGTATACGTAGAACTGTTCACTTTTCCTTTGATAGCCTCCCAGACCGACTGACCAATTTTGTACTGTACAATTTTTTTCTTTATGACAAGCTTTTTCATAATTTTCTGATCAGAGGGCATTCTAGCTGGTAATATGAGTTTGAGGATGGGATAATGGCAGGCTTCCTCTGGCCATATGGCCTCACATTGTTGACCTATCTCCTTATTGACGTTGTCCTTCATCTTTTTATAATTCAAGATAGTTTTCCAACTAAATGGTCTGAAAGTGAACTCTTGAAAATTAGGTATTTCTACACGAGCTTTCCTACTCCCATGTTGTGTTGCAGGAACTGATTTCCTTGTCTTGGATGACTCATTCTCTTTCCGAACTCTTTTACCAACTGAAAAAGATAGAAAGGTAGAAGTTCAGGATGATGGCACACTGAGGACACCACATTACATTACATATTTAGCCATGGAGTAGGGAAGGGTTAAAACGCCTGTTCGCAAGGCGCAACAGAAAGTGAATGGTAATCTCTACAAAGTGACGGAAATTCTGCTCTTAGAAAAATGTCATCAGAACAGATGTTCTTATTAGAAGAGTTCCCCTCTCCTCTGGTTCTAATGACCCCCCACCCAGTACAGGCAGTGGTGAATCTTCCACTAACTCAGGCATCAAATCATACAGTGAAAGTAATTACATATATTGTAAATTGATTCAATTGATAACCAGGCAAACATAGGGTGATCTGGACATGATACAGACATTAACTAACATACCAGGTACAGCCGTGCTCAAAAGTTGGCAGAAATGGTGACATTTTGGCATTGGTTTTGAATATATAACTGATCATGCCAAAACACTGTCTTTTATTTAAAGCGGAGTTCCACCTGAAAAAAAAAAAAATGTCAGCAGCTACAAAAACTGTAGTTGCTGACTTTTAAAATACAGCCACTCACCTGTTCCTTGGTCCAGCGGTGTCCTTGTGGCAAACTTGCTCATCAGAATTGGAGCGGAGTTCCCCCTCAACCCTCGTTTTCGTGTTCTGTCTGTGTATTTGAGGTCTTCCTGGAATCCTCACATCCCCCCTGCATTCCTGTGAGGCAGACTTTATCTCCTGGCAAATGGTGTGGAACAACCAGGAAGACATGAGAAGTGGAGCCAGCCAGTCTGCGGAGGTGTCATTTTTATCACCCAAAACTATGTAAGCCCACTCATTATCAAACCGACCAGAATAAGTGCACAGTCCTCAGGTCAACTGTATGGTTCATATCACGGGACATGAAGCTAGTAATTTAGTGTAGAGTTTCCCAATGACCACTCCCAAGTCAGAGCCCCCCCCCTCCCCTTTTGAGAGGGACCTTTAAGATCAAAGAACCTTTCTGCTCTGCATCTTGAATTTGCTAAAACCAGGCAAGGCAAGTAACTTACCCTGTAATTTCCTCGCTATTCTATGTTTACTGTGTCTTTATATACATATATATATATTCTTGTGACATCTGTGTAACTATTTATTTTGCATCTGTCTGACGCTTTTGGTAATAAATCTTTCTTTCTGAAAGTGTTAAACTGTTTCTAAGCGCTTACTTGCAATTCACGAATCCCTGCCTTTGAAGAGACGCTACGGGTTGTCATATCTCTGTATAGTAGGTCTGCGGGCCGTGCTATATAGATCAATATTTCAATCATTACAGTGTATATTTGATAACAGGAGTTTCCCAGTCTCCGATAAAAGTGGTGGTGGCAGTAGAGGGTTAGTTGCGTAACTAACCCGACCCAGTAACAAGCGCATTCAGGCTGCAGGCACCGATTGTAGTCCATTAGCTGGGCAATCGCTGTGTAGGGTGCAGCTGGGTGGGGCCTTGTTACGCGCGTCACACCACGGTTTTGGATCGGCCGGCCCTTCGGTCACGAGTTTGGTGAGAAGGTCTGGGGTCTGACGCCGTGGGCGTGACGTATTACTGTTAGTCGCGGCTGTGCGATTGTCGCCTGTTGGTGGCGGCGACCGCAGGTCGTGACAGTCCTCACCACCGTTGGTTTCACCGGCCGTCTTCCCTCCCTGGCGCCGGCATCTTCAGTGTGGGCACCCGGCTGTGACAGCTTGCAGCTTCACAGCCGGGTGCCCATTGTGCATTCGTGAGAAGCACTGCGCTGTGTGAATGGACTCATACTTTTCTGGTACCTGTCATGTGTCCCAGAAGACTACGGGGAGGGAGGGGGGATGACTTCCGCTTCCGAACGCCTAGGCAATCGCAGCGGAAGTGGGAGCGGGTACCTGTCAAATTCAGGTAACCTCTCCCCCCGCTCCCCAAAGATACCAATCCTTAATGGGGAACGGAAGACAAAGGCTTAAAGCAGAACTTCCTCTTTTGGGGGGAGCTCCGCTTTAAGGATAGTGATGATATGAAGCCATTTATTATCACTTAGTTATTTGGCTCCTTTTTAATTCATAGTGATAACAGAAATCACAGAAATGTTTCCATCAACGCAAATGTTTGGCCTTGGTACAGACACACAAAGTGACACACACAGGTCACAATGAAAATCTAAGGTTCATTTCCCACATTTGTAGCCTTTTAAATTGTAATTAGTGTCTGTGTATAAATAGTCAATGAGTTTGTTAGCTCTCATGTGGAGCAGGCTACATACTGAGCAATGGGGATCAGAAAAATGGTGCCCGCCCCGTCTCGTGCGCACTGGGTTATGTCCTCCACCAAGATGGTTCTGACCTAATGCGCATGTGCCATCCTCTATATAAGTTGACGGCGCGCGACACGGCGGAGTTGGCAATTCCCTCTGAATACGCGCGTGTGCATGAAACGCGTAAGGACGAGCCAATTACGCCATGACGTCACGATGCCGGAGCATCGAGGAGCTCCGGTGGCCATCTTTAGTTGTGGATGGTTAGTCCTAACCTGCTTGTTTTTACCTTTGATGCATCTTCTATTTTGTTAACCCCCCAAATTAATTATTTATACACTCTACTACACTATGGGCATTTCTCTGTCTTGAACTCCCTGGAGGAGTATTACATTTCAGACACCCTGGGTAACCCAGCATACAGTATCCAGAGAGGGAGCCTCCTATACACCCTGAGAGATGCACCCATCCATCCCTTAAGGGGAGCTCTGGCTGTCCTTGGATCACCATTTAAAGCCCTAGAATCCTTCCACCCTCAGAGGGAAGTTACTCCAACACCTGGCTTATTCTGATGATTCCTTGATGAC